CCCCCCCCCTCCATTTGAAAGCGTCTTTTGTTTTATTCAGTAGAATTTATGGTTTCTCTTAAATGTTGGTTTGTGTAGATTTACTGGTAAACAGATATTGGAACTCCCGTGTCAGTGTGAGGTGCCGTTAAAACCTCTGGATTCTCTCTAATGGGAAGGCTGCCTTTTTGCTAACGGGAGTCGGATTGTTTTCTGGAACGTACGAAAAAAAAGAAAGAAACCAATCAAAAGAAAAAACGAACAAATCAAAATCACCCCAACAAACATCTGCAGTTCTTTTCTGGCGCAGTTTCATGGTGCTGTTCATATTGTGAGGGGGATTTAATGACCTTCAGTGATGGACGGAACTGTGAGGAGCTTGGTAATCCTTAAAACAACATCGTTACATGTGTGCGTGTTCACGAGATGTGCCACCGTTGCAGCTTGAGAGTGATAATTCAATAGACTGCAGCAGGGTGGCGATGCCATGAGTGAGGGGCCTCCCCCACCCGGCTGGCCCCGCCTGGAGGAGGACGGGGTTGACGATGCTGATCTGTATGGCCAGTCCCTTTCGCTGGCGGACACCGGGGGCGGAGCCTAAACCGTCTGCTCGCCGCAAAGAGGCGGGGCTAAGGCCAATCGATGGCCTCCAAGGGGTGGGGTTAAGGCGGACTGCTGGTCAAAAAGGGGTGGAGTTAACACGGACAGACAGTGACAAGGTGGCGGAGCGTAGGCCAGCTGCTGTCCTAAATGGAGCAGTCGTTAATTCAGATAATGAGGTCAGTGGCGCGGTGGGTGAAGAAGTCAAAGATGGTGTTGGTCGCCCGCTGAGAGCACGGCCAGGACAATCCGTCCCAGTCGTGAAAGGTGTGAAGCGCAGGCCTACCCTGGGTCGTCACGACAGGGCGGAGGCTCGGGTGGCGGCTGCTTTCCAAAACGGATTGGAGTTAAATTCGACTGATGACACGAAACGATCTGGCAATGAGCAGCACAAGAGTGCGTCGGATGCTGGTGGTGGTGGTGGTAAGGGTGCTGCTGAAAGTGTCCGTGCCCGTGGCCAGGGGCTGCCGCGGCTTGTTGTGCGGGCCTGCCGCATGGGCCCAGAGACGGCGTTTGGTCTGGTCAGTGTGAACAGCCGTGCAGAAAGCCCTCCTCCTCCTCCCCTTCCTCCAGCTCCACCCCCTCCTCTGGAACCACGGTCAGAGACCCCACCACCCCCTGTACCGCCGTTACCATTTCCCATAGTAAGTATCTCGCGAAACGGGTGGGAGACATGCTAGGGAGTCATTTTGTGGGGACGAATGTACCCGTTCGTTACTTTGTTTTCTTCTCTCTTAATTTTCTAAAATACAATGGAACGTGTTCTAATCACCACCTGTCCTGACGACTGTACGAGTGGCCACTTCTTACTTCCTCCTTGTAATTTTTTCCTACATTATTAAGTTACTTTTCAAATCAGTTACCTGCCTTGGGAACCCACTTTTTTCCCCTTAACAATGTGTTACCATCCGGGACAATGTTGACTATAATTTTTGTTCTGTTTCAGGAGGGGGGATCTTTTCTTGCCCAGTTTGTGTCTGGTTTTGTGTGTAGATAGGTGCACTGAATTCGAGGGACAAGAGCCTTCTCTTCTGTGTGCTCGGCTTTATTGAACATTTCGTGACCACACATTTGCATACACATGTGCGTGTGCATCATGTACTTCTGTGTTTACCCACATGTGTGCACGTACATTTTGTTCTTTTCTCTCTTTCTTTTAAAGTATCTTCAAAGTTGGATGATTTAATTTGTTTTCTTTAAAGTTAATCCTTAGCTCCCCCTCCCCTCTTCTGTTCTCTCTCTCTCTCTCTCTCTCTCTCTCTCTCTCTCTCTCTCTCTCTCTCTCCTCTCTCCCCCCGCCCCTCTCTTTCAAGAGAATGAGATACATGCTTGAGCTATAGCAACGTTTTCAAGGATTTTTTTTTGTGTGTTCCACAGCCTAATGGGAATGGTTACGCTGACGGACATGGTTTGGTTACCATACGGATGAAGCCTGATGAGAAAGGACGCTTTGGTTTCAATGTCAAAGTGAGTATATTTGTGTGTATCTTTCCTCTGTATGTGGGGGCGTTTGTGGGTTTGGAACTCTTTGGTATAGTCTTCTCCTTTTAACTTTTTTTTTTTTTTACCGTTTCTTTATTTTTAATGAAATGTGTCCTGGGCAAAATGTCGCCCAAATAGTATAGGTGTGTCATATTGTTATATATTTGACTACTCATCAACTCACCCCACTTTCATGAGTGTTCTGACTGGTAGCCATGATGGTACATAAGGTTTTTTTTTCTCATTCAGGTGTCAGGTCTGTCTGTGCTCAGATGCTCTCAAAAACCCAGTGCTTCCAGTCTTCTGCAATTTTGCGGATTTCCGCAAATTAGCAGAAATCCGCAAATGGAAAAATTTCCGTGAAAATTTGTTTTAAAAAATAATTTTTTAAAAACTGTTTTCGAAAATACGAAGTAAATTTTTTTCGTAAATATACCAGAATCTAGATATCTAATAGTCTCAGAATTCGACACTCTGTGCTAGGCCCACAGAGTCTACAATAGTCAACCCATACCGGAAGTGCTCTTTTATTTGAAAATGTAGACAGTGTCTTTCACTTTCACTTTGTAAAGCTGAAGAAGCAGAGCACCAGCTCTGTAAGCAAGAGGAAGAAATCACGATTGTTGTTCAATAGATCTTGGGCCTGCCGAGATAAGAAAACTCTGAAGAGAGCTTAATTTTTTTTACCAGACTTGTTTATTTGTAAGTATTGTTGTGGTTTAAGTTGAATATAAGTAAGCTGTCAAGTTATTTAGGTCTAGATTCTAAATCTAGATCTAACTGTTATACTATTATAATAAGGATTCTACCCATTATGGTCAAACCAACACAAGCAGAAAAAAGTTGAACATTGACTGTCAAGTTTTATAGATATAGCTGTTTTACTACTGTTGTGGATGTACAGTATCAGTACAAGGGAGAAAGCATGGCTTTGGATTTATATGGATGAACACAAGCAAAAAATTATGTATGCAAGGTATGTTTTTTTCTCACTTATTTTCTTGTTAAATTTAGGCTTGAATAGCCAGAAATGGCATACTTAGGATGCCCTGAAACCAAAAATTCTCAAACATGAGGGGAGCGTCCCCCTTCAACCCCCTGCCAGGGCCCTGCCCTGGACCCGAAAATCCTCGAAAAATGACATCAGCTGCCGGAAGCTCTGAACCATGTTCTTTTCTGGTCACTGTCTTCTCAAAGTTCTCTAAATCTACATCTGCTTGTTTTGCTTTCAATTTGTCCTGTGAGAGCAATATGTTCAAGGAAGGCCTTTATGTTGATTCAGCGTCCCTAGGAACAGTATTTCTCTTCTTCATTGTTTTTATTAGTGACCTTCCCTTGCAGGCTTCTTTTAGCGCCACATCTTTCGATTTCTTTTGGACCCCCCCCCCCCCCCCCCGCGGGTTGGTGGTATTGACTGAAGTGACTTTAGACCATCCCCAAAGGGGGGACATAAACTTGTTCTTTTGCATAGTAGAATTGTAAATGGGCTGATTTATCATGGTCATAACTGTGCCTGAACTGCAACAGTGAACTGCAACTGTTGCTTTTTCTTTTTTAATCCTTACTATCGTCATTTTTCTTCTTCTTCTTTTGTATGTTTGTCTTACTCTTGTGACCCTCCATTGCCAGGGTGCCTTGATAGGCGTAGTTGAAGCAGACTTTGTGCTGTTGAAGCTAGAGAGGTGAGCAGAGTAAGCCTGATTCTCTGTAAAGATTTCTCTGTTCACATCCACCCCTTGGCGCTCATATGCAGTTGTGAGCGTCGTAAAACATTTTCTAAACGATTTCTTCTTCTTCCAGGAAATTCTCAACAGTCTCCTAAAATAACACATTTTTGTTGCCTTGAGTTTATTTTCTCATTGTGTAATAATTTTTCTGCCTTAACAGTCCTATAGCAACCAACACACCCCACCCCACCCCTCCTTTTTTTCTGTTTTTTATAAACCATACCCTGTATCCCACAGGGTGGGGCGGACCAGGGCATGCCAATCATCGTGTCACGCGTAGCTCCCAACACACCGGCGGACCTGGCCATCCCACGTCTCAACGAGGGAGACCAGGTGCTACTCATCAATGGCCGAGACGTGTCGCAGCACACTCATGAACAGGTGGGTGCTATACTGCCTTGTGGGTTGTTTTTTAACCTCAGCACTGGTGTGTAGACACATATGGTCGCTTTTCAGCACAAGGGGGCTATCCCGAAAAATGCTGTTTTGAGAAAATCGGAAGTAAAGTTTTTAAACCCTTATTCAGTTTCTTTAAAAGTCAAGGAAATTTTTCTCTATAACCAAACAAATATACACACCAGTGAAACCAAATCTCTCCTATGGGTAGGGGCAATGACCACTTTTGGTGTAGGTCGAGATTTCTGGAAACCCCCAAATTCTAGGTTAGCCCGCTTTTCATTAAAAGAGACCATATGGTTGGCAAGCTGTTGAAATGTTCTAAGGCCAGAGAGCTTGATTTTTCAGGGTAGGGGGGGAAGGGGAAACCTTTTTAACAATTGTTCTTGTATTATGTATGTAACTTTGGTTGCTGTTTTCAACATTTAGAATTTCATTTTGACGAAATATTTCTTGAGCACAAGCAGCTGATATGACAGATTAGTAAACTGTAAGAAAAATGTTTTTCAAAGTCTGGGGCCTGGTACATCTAAACAGCTGGCTTACAATATGTGAGGCATCATGGTGAAATCAGACGCTCATCAAAATATTGAAATCAAAGAAATCAGCATTTTTTGGCCGATGGGCAATTTTTTTCTCATTTTCTTTTTTTGGCTCAACACTTTTTATGTCCATTTAAAAACACATTTTTGTGTGGATTTTACTGAGAAACATTGATTAAAGGCACCCAAAAAAAATGTAGACTTTCAGTTTCTAAGGACTCCCGGGTTTTGGAAGTTACAAATCTTTGGTGGCTATTTTCTCGCTAATTTTACCTCTGAAACCAGCCGACTTTGACCTCCTTCAATCACAAATATTTTGCAACATAGATTAATATTTTTTCACCAAAAAAAAGGCAAATGAACAGGCTTTAGCTTGACACTAATAAACCGCAAGATGCCCAAAACTTGATGAGCGCCTGAGTCCACCGCGTCGTAATGCATATCTCTTCTTGTGTTCTCTAAAACTTGGTCAATGCCATATTTTTCTTCTGGCCTTTTGAGGAAGTTATAGGAGATCTACTTACAGCCTGTGCTGTTGCTAATTCTTAAGTACAGGAATGATATTATACTTTGTTTTAATCTCTAGAATGAACATGTTATCTTTTCTGTAAAAACTTGAATGGAAACATTTCAGCAATGATGATATGAAGGGGTTAATCAGTCAGACGTGTCTGCCAGTGTAAAGTAATGTGTGCTGAAGGGAGGAGATGGTGTAATGAAGGTGTGGGTGTCGACATTTGAAAGTAGATTTTGATGAATGAAGACTTTTCACTAGACACTGATTAAAAGTCAACACTATGGTGGAAATGACAAGCTTAACGATTCTTTACGTCAGCATTGTCTTTTTCTCCTTCTGTAGATCGAAATGGTTCAAGAGCTTTTACACATTTTGTGAAAGTAAGTCTGCTGGAAGTAAGGGTGTTTCTTGTGGTTATTGTTAAGAGCTGCCACCAGGAATGAGGTTTGAAGAAGAAAACTGCTCTTCCATGGCTCTTGTTGGTTTTTCAAAGGATTTTGTTGGCACAACTGTATGCTTCAATGAATAATCAATATTTCAAATGTATTAAGACTAAATGAGACTTGGTTATTTTGCTTTTTCTTTTCATATGGGGTGGGGGAGGAGTGAGAGAATGTGATTGTTGTTATTGATCCCCCTATTACCTCAGTTGCCTCTTCACTTTCTTCACTAATCCGTCCATTAACCCAGATGTCACTTGCTTTCCATTGACAGGTTGTGATGTTTATCAAAGCTTCTCGAGAGACCCACTCAGGGGAGCTGGCTCTGGTTGTCAGGCCCAATGGTGAGTGCTTCTACTGCCAGTACATATAAGCTGGGCGTGTTAGAGAACTCTGAGATACAATAAAACTTTCTTTTTTTTTGGGTTGGTGCTGTTATTGTCAGTTCGTTAAATAAATATGTGAGGCAGCGTGGTGAAATCAGGCGCTTGTCAAATTAATGAGTCTTTAAACTGACATTTTTTTTGCTGGTTCGGGAATTTTTATCGGAATTTTTGTTTTTTTCATGCCTGTAAAGAACACATTTCTTAGTGGATTTTACTGAAAAAGGTTGATTAAAATCATAAAAGGCGTAAATTTTCAGGTTCTCAAGCTAAGAATGTAATTCAACTTTGACGGCCATTTTCTCGTTAATTTTGTCTCGGAAACCTGGCAACCCCCACCGCCTTCAATCGCCAAAATCTTGACTTGTATCCAATATAAATGGATATTTTGTTCTTCAAGCGCAAGGCAAATGGACAAGCTTTAAGATGATAGCAATAACTCCTTGTGCCCCAAAATTGACGAGCCCCAAACTTGACGAGCGCCTGATTCCACCGTGTTGTGACATACGTAAATAACTAAATCAGTAAATAAATTAATGCACTTATAAATAGATCAATAGCTAAATGAATAAATAGATAAATAGAAAAATAAATGAGTAAAAAATTTAAAAAGTAATTGCTTAATCCTATCCGTACGCCCTGGGGTAATTTTGTACCCCGGGGTTGTATTCTTCATTTTTTAGAATAGTGCGAAGATCTCTTTGAAACTTTTTTAGTATTTCTCAAAAGATCATTTTGCCAGACTGCTATGCAAAGTGTATGGATCGGATTAACAAGTAAATTTCCTCTTTGGAAAGTGGTGGCACAGAGTTCCCCACGTCGCATGGATACGATAGTAAAACTCAACGTACGGTTAGGGTTAAATAAATGAATAAATAAACAAATACGTTTTATTGATCTCCGTTGGGAAATTTGGGTTGCAATGGCAAACATACGTACATACGTACATATGATGCATACATACACACATACATACACACGCGCACACACACACACACATACATACATACATACATATATACATATAAGAGGCAACGTGGTGAAATCAGGCGCTCATCGAAGTAATGAAATCGAAGAAACCGGCATTTTTCCGATTGGCAATTTTAATAGAATTTAGTTTTTTTTTTTATGTCCATTTGAAAACACAGTTATCTATGGATTTTACAGAAAAACGTTGATTAAAGGCACAAAAATGTAATTTTGCCGTTTCCTAGCATTCTAAAACTTTGGAATGCGCCTAACTTTGGTGGCCATTTTTTTGCTAATTATACCTCCATCTCTTTTAATCACAAATACTTCGACTTCTGTTTATGATAGATGAGTATTTTTTCTTTGAAAGCAAGACAAATGAACAAGCCATAAGGTGATACTGATTACTCCACCTGCCCTCCTGATTCCACCATGGTGGGACTCTTTACATATGTGAACACACAAATATACAATGAAAGAATACTGTTGGAGTATGCGCTGTTGTTGTTATGTAACGTGCCCCTTTAAAATGGATGGTACCCCTGGAAAATTGAGGAAAAGCCAGTTTTACAGTCTCCATGCCAATACACTATATTACACCAATGGAGACTATTTTACAATTATTCCATTGTTGGTTGCCACAGAGCGGTGCCCTGGTTTTCTTTTTTTTTTAGCTAGGGTTATCGAGTCTTGCTGAGACACACCCCAGTGACCACCACTTGTATAATTGTACAGTGTAATGGAAAATTATTATTTTCCTTTGAGGGATTTGTGAGTTTCATATCTTTGTGAACCTCTTCGGCTCGTATATTGCTGTTGTGGTGCATGGTGAATGAAAGATGTGCTTCTCTTTACTCAAACAGGTGGTGTGCTCTTTCTTTCCTATCGAACATCTGTTGTCCTTATCACCCTTCATTCTTTTTTGCTTGTGTCTTTTACTCTCTTATACTTGTAACTCCTATTCTTTAGCACTTATATGACTTAACTGTGTTGCAAGTGCTGAAGAACTCTTACTGTGGGTGGTTTGCGGGTGCTCTGGTTTGGTTTGCTCCTTCTTTCCTTTCAAACATGTCTCGTGCAGTTGCGAGCGCCGTAAAACCTCAACTAAAACTAAAAAACTCTTTACTAAACCAAAAATTCTCCCACAGTATATGTAAGTGAGGAGCAGTGCGATGAGCCCGACTTCACATACATCCCAGAGACCCACCAGATCGCCTCCTCCTCTTCCAGCGCCAACACCCTCGAGTCCTCGCTCATGTTGTTGCAGGAGAGCTTGGAGAGCGGTGCGGCCATAGCACAGTTTGAGGTACAGTGAGAATCTGATGTGTGGGAACGAAAACACTTCTTTATGAATAACACATACACACACATGCACATGCACACACACGCACACTACACACACACACACACACACACACACACACACACACACACACACACACACACACACACACACCCACACACTTATAAATCTTTTCAGACTGTTATTCAGCGTGACAGGAGGAGTGAATAGAATTGATAACATGCAAAGAGATAAAATCTTTTCAATGAAGAAAAGTAATGGCTCTCCTATTGATTCTTTTTCTCCTCACTGTCCAGAAATAGTTTTACTAAGTTGAATAAGAAATGCTGCTGTTGTAGACCAAACTTTGTGATATAAAGTTTCCTTACATCTATTTTGGAGACTGGTGGTGGCAGCTGGCATTCAAACCTACTCATGTCTCCAGCCTTGCTGACTTTTGTAGCTGCTGTCATCTGCTCTTTGAAATTGTAAATGGGTGTTTGTAGTGTGCATATATGATTCTTTTTTCTTTTTTTTTTTTACCTCTTTCTGTCAGCTATTTTTTGTGCTTACAGCTTTGAGGTATTTCCTTTGTCTCTTTGAAAGCAACTAGATTATTTTTTTTAAGAAAGGAAAAAAACTTGCGTGGGATGGGAATATTGAAGGAATGGAATGGGGTCCTTTTCATTAAGTAATATCATCTTGATGCAAGAGAAAGGAAGCAGTTAGTGATGGGTGCTTTGATGTTAATCACAAGAGGACTACCTTACTGGGGCCTTGTGCACATCTTTGGAAGGGGCGGGGGAGATTTATGGATGCTTTTGATTTTTCCTTTCTAAATAAATTGCTACTTCTGACATCTTGCCGATTACCTGGTAACCAGCACAAGACTACCATTGCTGTGTGGTGCATATGCATCTTTTTTAACTTGGATAAATTGTCATAACGCACCTGTTTGTGTCAGTTGCTTGCATGATCAAATGTCTTTTCGTACCACACTTACGCTGAAGGGTATTGTTTGTGAAGACTAACAACAGGAACTTTGAATTGCCTTCTTCTCTCCGCCAGCAATTATATCGGAAGAAACCAGGTCTAACACTGAATGCAGCACGGTTGGACGCCAACATCAATAAAAATAGATATCGAGACATATCACCATGTGAGTTTTGTGTGGAAAGAGTTCACATCTCTGAAGGCCTGTGAATGTACAAGCTCAGAGTGTTTAAATATGCACAAAATTGTGTTGTATTGCTGGATTTCAAGTGGTTAACTCTAGTTGTATTTTGTCTTAAAAGTTGTTTGAAATAGTTTTATATAACACATTTTTTGTAATGTTTATGTGACACATTCATTGAAATGGTTCTGTGACACATTTGTGGAAGTGGTTGAAACACATTCTTCAAGAAGAAAAATCAATTTAAAAATTACGTTTCGGAGTTGCAGGGTCTGTTGTGTTTTTCTAGTTGTAAATTGCTATTGTCTTTATGCTTGTTACACTGTGCATGCACTGCACTTAAAAAGTGTCCACAGTTTCTTCTTTTTTTGTCTAAATAATTATTTCTTTGTACCCAAGTGATCAGATTATGTGAATAGGTCGTCAACAACCTAACTAAAAATGTCATTTTTCTGTAGTGGGTAATAACAGAATCTACTATTGGTTCTTTGTTACGTAAACCAGGTTTTATCTTTGACCTGTCTTTGTGTTTTTTGTTCTAACTGTTGCCCTTCACCCCTCAGATGACCAAACACGAGTAGTGCTGAAGAGTGGAGCCTGCGGAGATTACATCAATGCCAACTATGTAAATGTGAGTTCATCGTTGTGCAGCTGTCAGTCAGTTTACAACTTTTTATTGTAAAAGGCTTTTCTGAGAGTGGTTGGCGGGTGCTCTGGTGTGGTTTGCTTCTTCTTTCCTATCAAACATCTATTGTCCTTATCTCCCCTTCTTTTTTATGTTTGTTACTCTCTTGTAACGCCTCTAATCTTCTGGCGCTCATATGACCTTGTGCAGTTTCGAGCGCCCTAAAACCTCTACTTAAGAAAAAGGCTATTCTGATGATTGTTGTGTGTCACCCCCCTTGACACCACAGTGCGATGGGATCCCTTGATTTTGTTCCCCCAGCACAATATGATTGTTTGCAGGCAGTATTGCATACAGACATATCTCAAAGGCCGCCAAAAATGACTTACGTCTGTACGCAATACAGTGGAACTCAGATTCAACGTAAGGAGATGGAGTCCCCGTTTTTTCTTCTTTAAAATCTATAAAAATAACCTGGATTTAACGAACACTTAAATCAACAAGCTCGGATTCAACGAGGTCACTTCCTGGGGGAATAGCCCACCCGCAGATGTGGCTTCCCTCATTTTTCTCCAACAACGAACTTTATCTATTCCCGGGACCATTGGGCTGGGCGTGGAATGTCGCAGAGATACAAACGCGTTACAGTCTTTCTCTCCCCCCCACGGCCACTGAGAATTATTACAATGTACAATGAATATGATAAGCTAGTCTTGACGTAGATCTACATAATGAATGGTGCGCTGGTCTATGGAATTAAAAGTTGCTGTATGCTAGGCTCTACACAGCAACACAACATTTTGGCAAACTATCGAGATGACACAGGCGTGCATTTGAACGAATCAGTCTTTTTTTTTGCCCAGCTCATAATATGCAAGCATTTTAGGCACCACTTGTTACTTCCCTTGATACACTATTCGCTCAGTCCCTGTAATTATCTACACAGAACATAATGTTTACTATAATGGACACTCGCATTCAACGAGATTGTAGGTCAGGCCCGGCGACTTCGTTGAATCCGAGTTCCACTGTGCTGCTCGCGTGTTATTGTGTCGATGTGGTTCTCTTTACCCAAACAATGCTATATTTGAAAAAACTTGTGAGACATTCCTTAACCCTCACCCCTTGCTTTGATTACGATATTGGACTTTATTATAGACTTCCAAATTCAGACTAAAATTTGTTGCTGTTTTTTGTTGGGTTTTTTTACACTGAACCCTATGTTTCCATATAAACAGACAAGTGCCGAAGATTATTTTTCACTCTCAACTTGGGAAGTTCGACTTTCTTTACATTGCTGATTTTAGACCTTTGTGGACAGTAGTTTTGTTTTCAAGGTCTCCCCTGAAATGGGTAGTTCAGAGCAGGTGATTTTCAGCTTCTCCATATTTAAGACACAATAATAATATTGATGTTAAGAATTTTTCATGGAACACCTTTTGAAATAAATGTAAAGAAACGTTAGTTTTGAATACAGCAACATTGCTGATGGTTGAAGGCCTGATGAACTGTCAGATAGAGTACCCTGTCTTAGAGGGTTGTCTTATTCATGATTAACATCTTCTGTGAATTCTTCCAGATGGAAATCCCCGGATCAGGAATTGTCAACCGCTACATTGCCGCTCAAGGACCTCTGCCCAACACCTGCACAGATTTTTGGCAGGTGAGTTCAGGATTTTTTTTTTTTCAAGTCAGGAGAGAGAGGATTGTATGCATGGTTTCTACTCACGAGCAATACACGGTTATTGACAATGAAAGATTTTGTCAGTTTGTAAGTGTTTGATTGCTAAATCAGCTTTTTGCAGTGTATGCTTCCAGGGAAGCTGAGAATGTTTCTAAGTGTTTTATAGTCTGCTAGGGTAATGATATAGTGTGAAGCGCATAGAGCTTGTTGTCGAGCTGGGATATGCGCTATACAAATGCTATTTATTATTATTTATTATTATTATTATATTGTGTTGAAAGATCAGTGAGCTAAATGAAGCTCATAATAAGACTCCTCTTCTTACCGGATCGAGATTAAGTCCAAATATCTGTCCGGGTCGTTTTATGTCAGAAAAATTCAGAAATTATGCGATTCTGTTTAATTTTAACAAAGAATGATAAAGGAAATTAATCAGAAACTGCAAAAAATGCTCAAATTTTGCTAAATTATGCGGGGAGCATAAAACCCGGGGACAGAAATATAAGAGTCTAGAAACTGAGTCTAGAATACTCGTTTCTTGTCATTTGCCAGACTTGATGATAGTTACAATTTTTTTAAAGTAAATGAATTATAGTGTCAACTGACTGAATTAACTGCCATGGTATTATGTGTGATTCTTTCTGTATTGAATTGTGTCAGATTTAATTAAAATGTCCATTGGCTCCTAAACCACGTATAGAGAAGTACAGTTGAACCTACTTTAATGGCGACCTGTCCAAGGCAATCACCTGTACAAGCAACCACTTCCCTCCTTGCTTTTTTTTTCTGTATTGTAATGACACTGTCGAAGACATCCACCTGTGTAAGACAACCACCTTACTCCTCTGCAATGGATGGCCTTCATAGACATTTTCATAGACTGTAGGTTGTGTTCATAGGTGGCAGTAAAGTTTAGCCCTCTATGTTTTCATAGGTCATGATACCTAAACTTTTTTTCTATTTTATGTAGTCCATTCTCCAACAGAACATGACCAACTTTGTCTAGTGGCGTCAGTAGTGTAGTGGTTTGGCTACCGGACTAACAATCGTGAGATTGTAGATTCAGGGGTTCGAGACTCTGCTCAGTCCGACCTTATGTCATTGGGAAAGGCAGTTTGTACGAATTTCCCATTTGGTGTGTTCCTTTTGGAGATGGGCGTTAAACTCGGAGGTCCTGCCACTTGACTAACCTAGTAGTTAGTGTTGATAGGGATGTTGAACCTAAACCGTTTAACCTTTTTTTAACTTCGTCTTTTCCCGTCCCCAGATGGTGTGGGAGCAGCAGTCATCGCTAGTGGTGATGCTGACCACCAAAGTGGAGCGCGGCCGCGTCAAGTGCCACCAGTACTGGCCGCAGCTCTACGAGACGGAGGACTTTGGCACGTTGCAGATCACGTGTGTGAAGGAGGAGGAGACGCACTCGTTTGCTTTCCGTGAATTCAACCTGACGCACGTGGAGACGAGCGAGGAGCGGCACATCCGTCACATGCAGTACATCGCCTGGCCGGACCACGGCGTGCCCGACGACCCCAGCGACTTCCTGCACTTTGTCATACGAGTGCGGCAGAACCGAGAGGGCATGGTGGAGCCCACCGTTGTACACTGCAGGTGAGGCAAGGGTGCCATATCTCGGCCTCAGTGCTTTCTTGTCGTATCTCCATTTTTTTAAACAGTAAAAATGTGACTTCTTCTTAACAGTCAGTTATGAACTGTTTTTATTGTTATTAAAAATGGAGATATGACAAGAAGGCGCTGAGGTCGTGACATGGCTGGGTTTTTTTTCTAACACTAGCATTTTTTTTCTTTGTCTTTCTTTCTGTGTTTTTTTCCCTCTTTGAATTCTTTTTTTTTTAATACTGATTTTCCTTTCTAAATTTTATTTTTCTCTTTTTTCTTTCTGCCTTTCTTTTCTTTAAAAAAAAAAAGCTAATATTACTGACCCAAGTGGGAATGGGAACCCGGCTGTAGACAGCAAAAGATCTTGTCAGGTTGATAGTGTTTAAGCGCGTGTAATCTGCAGGTTTCACTGTATGCCTCCAGGAAAGCCAAGAAGGTTTCTGAGTGTTCTGACAGAGTGTGTTGAGGTAATTATAGTTGTAAAGTGCATAGAGCATGCTGTAGAGCATGGGTATGCGATATATAAATGCAATGATTGTTATTATTGTTGTTGATTTCACAAGCTGTTGCAATTTATACAGAAAATAGATCCTATTATTGAAATGCCTACTTTTTTGTGGTTATTGACGAAGTTGTTGACAAAATGGTAATTTTTCTCTTCCTTTCCCCATCCCACCCAACAGTGCTGGTATTGGAAGAACAGGAGTGCTCATCACCATGGAAACCGCAATGTGTCTTATAGAATCGAACCAGCCTGTGTACCCGCTGACTATAGTGCGGCAGATGCGGGATCAGAGAGCCATGCTTATCCAAACTTCTGTGAGTTTCCTGTTCTCATTGTCAACTAAGTGGGTGTTTGACGGGTACTCTAGTGTGGTCTGCTGCTTCTTTCCTATCAAACATCTGTCATTCTTATCTCTCCTCCGTGGGTGGTTGGCAGGTGCTATGGCGTGTTTGGCTCATTCTTTCCTATCAAACATCTATCGTCCTTATCTCCCCCTCCTTCTTTTATATGTTTGTTACTCTCTTGTAACACCTCTAATCTTCTGGCGCTCATATGACCTTATGCAGTTGCGAGCGCCGTAAAATCTCTACTAAAACTAAGCTTATCTCTCCTCCTTTTGTGTGTGTGGGTGTTTGTTACTCTTTTGTAACACCTCTAATATTCGGCACTTATACGACCTTATTGTGTTTGTTATTTACTGAAACAAAATTGTCCGCTGCCAAGTGACCAGGCACATCTCTTTCTTGTTCTCTTTTTTTTTTTTTTTTTGTGAGTTCAGTATTTTTTCCTTCTTTACTTTTCTATGTAGCTTGTCCTTTTCAGAGCCTAGCCTTACCTGAAAACTGTTCTTTTCTTTGAATCTCTCTTCTTCATTGATCAGTAAGTTGAGAAAACCCCTTTACACTCACCTGTTGGAATTGGCTGATTTTGACATTTGTAGCCTTTTACAGGTAGGCCTATATAGCTCATGCTACTGGTTCCTACTACTTTTTAAATTTCCTCTCTGATATATCTGTCTGCTTCGTGAGTGGTTGGAGAGCACTACTGGTCCTCCCCCTCCCCGTTCCTGTCTCCCCTCTCTATATATTATGTATTGAGGTAGGTGGTCTGGGTGTGTGGGTGATATAACATGTTGTATTAAAGAAGAGTATATTCTGAAAGATTATTGGTCTCGGGTTAGTTTATTCTTTTTTGTTGTTACTATCTTCATTTTTATAGAGGTCCCTTTTGTTATTGTATAATGTTCAGGAATTTGAGTGATACTTGTTATTTGTGGGTTTTTGGGACACTAATAAGTTGATATACTTGTACCTGAAGATCACAATATTGGTTTGTTTGTGTATTTTGGGAAATGCCAGTTCTTATTCATGATGGGGGTTTTTTTTTGGTGGCATATTGTTTGTTTTCAATTTTATGTTTTGATAGTCATATTTCAATGTTTCTGTATTTCAGAGTCAGTATAAATTTGTGTGTGAGGCAATACTCCGAGTTTATAACGGTAAGTGCATTTCTTTAAGTTGTTAAATATCAAGATGATATTTTTGCTCAGTGAAATTGATCAGCTGAATTAATGCTGCTTTATTTGTTTATTTTTTAAAATTGTCTTCAGTGGTGAATTCAAAGGCATAACAAATAGAAGAAATGGAGATGCCTATCAGAAATTAGAAATCAGAGAACGTGCAAGAATATACAGGAGCATTGTTGGTTTCTTCAGTGCAGTGCTGAGTTTTTGAGCTATCTGTTAAATGTAAGGACACATGCTGTCTAGCAACCATTGTCTTTTGATGTTGGTTGGAGATTTTTGTGAGCCCTAGTTCTCACATCATTTAGCCATAGAACGTTCAGGGTAAAAGATTCACTTTTATTCATAGCAAATTCAGCCTTTTTACCCTGTATTAAATCAGGCCTTGTGTTCAGTTTTGCATTAAAATGCTGGAAGAATGACGTAAGTGTACATTGAGAAAAAAGATTAAAAGTATCGGGTCAAGGGTTTGCTCATTGTCGGAAGACACAGCTGGGTGGGAGAGGTTGCTTGGAATAAATTGAGGGACAACCTGCAAGAATGATAGAGGTAATACTCTTGAAACTAGTATCTACTATGAATGATGAGCACTTTTAAGATGATTTATCAAGAGATTAATAAAAAGTGCAATTTAAATATTTTATAGCTTAACTTTGTTGGCGCTCATATGACCTTATGCTGTTGCGAGCGCTGTAAAACCTCTGCTAAATCTAAATAGCTTAACTTTGAATATTTCTGAGGATAGTTCCTCTCCTTTTTATGGTAAATTGTAAGGATGTGAATGTAAGCAGGTGAATACCATCACTTTTTTTATAACACACATTCGAAACTCAGACGACCACTCATTGTTGAGGAGAAAAAGTCTGGTCGTCTAAGATAGGTGTCCATCTTATGCAGTGTCATTATTATTATAATGTAAAAAAATGTGCAAGAGGAAATAAGATGTGGCTGTTTGTACAGGGCATTGTCTTATACAGGTGGCTGTTAGAACAAGTTTAATTGTATTTGTCAGCTTATGGGGATTTTTACATCTGTACAGTCAAAGAAAAACGGTCAGTTTCTATAGATCACCATAATTTTTAGTCGTTTTTTTCTTTCAATGTCAAGTCCATGCCTAATAATGTTTCTCCCTTGTGTCTGACCAGAGGGCCTCGTGAAACCTCATGAAGACTTTAGAAGATGAGAGGGCCGACACAGTGGCATGGGAGAGCTAGCGTTTATGCACATGCTGATGTGTGAGAGGACAGACAGTGTGCAGATGTGTCCAGGTGTTGTCGTGGTTTCACTTCTGCCTCCATCCACCACTATCGTCGCCGGGGACGGAGACACCCCCCTCCCGTCAGTGGGAGCGTGGTGGTGTTTTGTTGGGCTGGGTCAAGCTGGCCGGACCTCAGAGTGAAATATCCTCCCGCATGGGGAGACTGCAGGCGCCGGTTACCAGCCTGACTTGGGGCGAAGAGGAAGAGATGGACGGGAAACACTTTAAACGAAAAGTAGAGAGGAATCGAGTCTTTTGAGTTTGGATTCGCCTTTTCCCTCCCAGAGGGCGTCAAGCTCATGTTGTTGCATCGACTGTTAATTCGTGGACTTTGTGAAAGATTAAGACAATTCATTAACAAAACAAAACAAGTTTTTGTGGTGTTGGAGGCTGTGGACCCTGTGAGGACTTGCATGCACGTTATTTATTGTTCTCAAGGCCAGTGTGTACGGTGGGAGTTGAGGAAAGTGGTTCGTATAGAGACAAACAAACACTAATGGAAGAGAAACGCTGATGTATATTGTGTACCATGGAGCAGAAGGATGCGGGGATAGGTGTAGTTAGGTCAGCAAAGTTGTGTGTGAGTGAGGACACAAGGCTGTTTTGTGCCACTCGCACTTGCTTTCTGAATGCTGGACATCAACCTGTGACTGTCAGGGCTGTCAGTGAGCCGCTGCTCTGCCTGTATATACTACGTATTTTTTTACCAGGAGATTTATATTACTATCTGTTTTATTATCGTGGCTGTTGTTGTTGTTGCAAGATACATGGTGAATGTGCATTTAAGAGCAATATGTTTATCCGTGCCCCCGCCCATCATCCCCATGAGCTGGATCAATGTCGCGCTTCTGTGAGAGATTTTGTGTTGCTGTGTTTGGATACTGCAACATGCCACATCAGAGCTGACTCCTTAAGTACATCTGTGTATGTTCCTGTGCAACAAGAGAGGGCAACGGGTGTGTGAGTAGTAGGGGTTGTTGCTTTTCACGGACACTGTCTGGGACTTGTTCATCAATGCTGGGACAGGTGGACTGAAAGCGAGCAGCATCCCATTGTGTTTGGGGTCATCTCCTGACTGGATACGCGTGGAGTTGTACAGTAGTGCGTTTTGGTGGTTAGAAGAATGAATGTGGGGGAATTGTTTCTGTGACGGTCAAGTTTACTGATTGTGGTTTCTCGTGGTTTCTCACCTCACTCCCAAGGTGAAACAAACAGGGAGAGACTGGGTGCATCTTGACCAAGAGGGATTGATTTGATTGGTATAGAATGTGCTGGGTACAAGGGCGAATGTCAGTTCTACTTGAGTTTACAGATTTTTTGCCAGGGGATTATTAAACAATACCAACATTTATTGAGCTATGGACTGAAGAAATGAATTGAGTATTCAGACAGCTGCATGTCTATTCAAGATATCTTTCTGTATTGGCAGGTACAGAGTAGAGCTGTAGCAGTTTGATACTGGGTATTCAGTTTGTTAGCTGTGGGTGAACCTAGTAGCACTGCTGTTGGCAAAATGACACAGTCATTGGACATTTCATGATTATGATAATATTCTGTTGTGCAAATGGATTTAGTTTTGCTCACCTGTATGACTTATAAGATTAAAGCTTTAGATGTCGTTTCCAGATACACAAAAAAGGAAATCTGTGGTGAGCACAATTTGTAAGGAATGTGACTGAATGATGTTGATCTACAGAGTATTAATCATTTTCAAATGAAGTGATGTGTCATCACGTTCCTCTTTGCTTTTGCATTATTTCCTGGAAAAAGCATTTTAGCAATAATGGTGGATTTTGTTGTTTAGATCATAACAGGAATAAGTGAATCATTTTGTGTGTTCTCATTCCTCATAATGATTGTGGTCGTAATCTAAACTGATTGTAAAGACTTTGTAGAAAGGCTATGAATTTTGATTGCAGATTTTCAATGAGATCTGTAAATAGATTACACACAACATTTTTGTCCACACTTGCATGGGAGTTCATAGTCTTTTGGGATGCAAATGAATTCCTTGTATTTTGTAGCTTGTTTTAGTTATCATTTGGAAGTTGCCACGAAGGTCAGTTGCAGAATGGAGGATCATAGGGAAAGCTAAGGAGCTGTACTTACACGCTGGCACTCA